GATGATGAAGATGCCTTAAATGACGAAGGTACCTTGGATGATGAAGATGCTTTAGATGATGAAGATGCCTTAAATGACGAAGGTATCTTGGATGATGAAGATGCCTTAAATGACGTAGGTGCCTTGGATGACGAAGATGCCTTAACTGACGAAGGTGCCTTGGATGACGAAGGTGCCTTCAATGATGAAGGTGCCTTCAATGACGAAGATGCCTTCAATGACGAAGGTGCCTTGGATGACAAAGATTCCTTGGATGATGAAGGTGCCTTAACTGACGAAGGTGCCTTGGATGACAAAGATGCCTTGGATGATGAAGGTGCCTTAACTGACGTAGGTGCCTTGGATGACGAAGTTGGCTGGGATGACGAAGTTGGCTGGGATGACGAAGATGCCTTGGATGAGTTTCTCCTAAGATAATGGCATCTTCGATTCTGGAACCTTCGATCAAGAAATCTCGCAAGATGTCTTTTTTATCGGACCTCCGGTGTCGATGCCGGAAACGATCAAGAATCCGAGTCTGGTCCAAGCAATCGAGGGTGGTCACAGAATCGGCAATGGTTTCCCGGCACAGCACCGATTCGTTCGACGCAGGTTGTGTGCGTCTAAGAGGAGATGGTTTGGATTGGGTTGGGTGCATCGTCGATAATGCATATTGTGTTTGTTATACGTTGAGTGTGTTTGTGGCAGGCCAATCCGGCTTGTTGAAAAGATAAGAAACAAGTACAGTAGTATAAATCATGTTACATTGGATTCCACTCCGGTCTGGGACCGCTGTTCTACAACTAGCGCGGAAAATCGGGACCAGAAGCACTCGCACACGCACTCGTATTGTACGGTACGGTATGCACTGTTCTGCCTTCCTTTTTTCTCTTGTCGTACCTCAAGAGAAGGTATCTTTTCTACCGTATCATGTGTGACAGACACATACCTTGCAAGATTTTGACGCACTAGACTCGATTCTGGCTCCGCCTTCGGACTCCGTACCGTAATACGTACTGTACCGTATGTATGTAGGTACGAGTACGACTCCAAAAAACAATTCCCGTATTAACCATAAGTGCCCGATCCCGGAGGCGCAGGGGTCCGATACGGCACTTACGCTACGGCACTTACGGTATGCGTGTCGTACGATGGACGACTGTGAAATCGTGTCCATCATTGGTTTGTTGTGCGATGCCGTACGGTGCTGCCGTACGCTGCGTAGGAGTAGGTACGTAGCCTATGGAGTGAGCGAAAGGAAACGAAACAAAACAACACAACACAAAAACGGCTCGGAAGCTTCTCATCGCAACCCAACCCAACCCACGCTGTGCAGCTGGATTGGCTTTCACCATTTCTGTTCTTGGTCTCCCCCCGGCGTTTGTTCTGGGAGAGACATAGTCACCAGAGGCACCCATCTAGACCCAACACACACATCCATCCACCTTACGCTAACACTAATTGCCGGCACCACGAGAGGGCAGGTATCGAACACGTATTTGTTGGACACCCGACGAGATCCGACGAGACGACACGACACGACACGAGACGATCGATTGCACCGTGCGCTGCATGCCCCCGAGCGACCCGACGGAATCCGATTCTTCGAACAACAACAACAACAACAACGACGACGACGACGACGAGCGCTCGAGCAGCAAGACCTTGAGCAGAAGCTTCCGTAGCGGCAACAGCTCCAGCAGCCTCTCGAGCATTCCCCGGGAAGATTCCCCGCTCTCGCGCCGTTCCCGACCGAACCACCGATCTCGATCCACGCAAGCGCAAGCGCAACCGCAAACTCCACCGCAAGGGCGAAGACCGATGAACCGYACGAGCTACTCGTCCATCCCGGCGGCCTCGGGCACGCCCCCCGACGCCCTTGACGGAAGTTCCCACGACCTCGAGGGCGGGCCTTCCGCATCCCCCCCGGGCGCAAGGGAAGAAACCTTTGGGGACGAGGGAGAGGCCGGGACCACCACCCAACACMRAAGCCTCCCGGCGTTGACCTGGAGGGCCACCCCCGACCGCCGCATCGGGCGCTACGAGAGCGTCCCGAATCCTTCGGACGCACCARGAAGCACCACCGRCMRCAGYTGGTGCTGCTGCTCGGCCCTGGTGCAGACGGTCCTCGTCGTGGCGGCCATGGCCCTGGTGGCGACGGCGGGCTTTCTGGTGGGGAGCGCCAAGCCGGACCTGCTGGTGGCCGTCCTCAATTCCACCGCCGGGATCGACATCGACATGGACGCTTCGGCGCTGGAGGCCGGTGCGGCGGGCCCCGGGGAGGTCGGCGTGTCCGAGGCATCGCCCGGGGGCAACGAGACGGAATCCGGCGGCGGCGACCGAGCCAGCGGGGCAAAGCGCGCGAAGAAGGCCTTCCGGGTCCGGTACGATCCGTCCGCGGTCCTTTCCAACGATTTCGTGTACGGCAGCAACGACAACGACAACGACAACGACAACCACCACAACAACCACCACAACGGCAAGGACGCCCCCTACCGCAATCCCTTCGACTCACCCCCAAAGAGCGGCGACCCCGTCTTTGCGACGCCCCCCCACCCCTTTTCCACAGGGGGAATCCCGGCCCCCGCGGGCTACCTCAAGAGCCCCCACCTGGCCGGGGACCGCCTGGTCTTTTTGTCCGAGGGGGACGCCTACGTGACGACCCTTTCGGGCGGTGACGGAGATTCCTCCCTTCTCCCGGCCGCAAGGGTCACCACGACGGTCGGAAACGTCCTGGACCCCCGGTGGCACCCGACCCTCCCGCTCCTGGCCTACACGGCGACCTATTCGGGCCGGAGGGAGGTCTACCTGCTGGACATSGGCGTGTCGCGTTCGGCGCACCAAAGCGCCCGCAAGTCCCCCGTCCGCCTCACCTACTGGAACGTCGGGGGCGGCGTAAGCGGACTCGTCGGGTGGATCGACACCGACACCGAAAACGCTTACGGAKGGGGCCCGGCCCTGGTCTTTCGGGCCTCCTCCAACGAGGCCTCCCTGCCGGACTACCGCCTCTACGTCCTGCGCCTCGGAAGAGAAAACGGCGGCACCGAGGGTTTCCCCTCGGTCGAGCCGGTCCCCCTGGCCCAGGCCACGGACGCGGCGTGGCACGGGGGCTGCTGGTACTTTGTCCGGGTCAAGCAGAGCTCCCAGACCATTCGGTACGCCGGCGGGACGGCCGAGAACCTCTGGAGGTACTGCGAACGCAGCGAAAAGGCCGACGACGACGCCGCCGCCGCCTCGGGCCCCCTCCTGGCCGGCGACGACTACCGCGGGACCAGCAAGTCCCCGCAGATCTACCGGCCGGACACCGGGGGGCCGGCCTACCTCTTCTTCCTGTCGGACCGGGGCCCCGGTCCGGAGGACGCGCAATCGGCCCCCTCCTGGATCCCCGACCGGATGAACGTGTGGGCCCTCGCGCTGGTGGACGGCGGCGACGGCGACGGCCGATCCTCCTACTCGCCGGCGGACCTGGTCAAGATCACCGACACGGCCTGCGACTTTGAGGGCAGGACGGTCCGGGAGTTCACCGTCGACCGGGCCTCGGGGACCCTGGTGGCCCGGATCGGCGCCGACCTCTATGCGATGCCCTCCGAGACGGTCCGGGCGAGGCTGGAGGCCGGGGGCAAGCAACGGCGGGAGCGCCGGCGGCTCGCACAAGACCGCGAGGACGAGGACGAGGTGGAGTACCTCCGCGGCGCCCGGGAAACCCCCGCGGTGTTTTCGACGGGCGTTCCCACCGCGGAAGACAACGACCAGAACGACGACGACGACGCGCAGGGCTATTCCGCCACGTCGACGTCGACCTCCACGAGCGCCCCGTCCTTCGACGAAGAAGAAAGCGAGGAAGCCGCTTCCGCGTCCGGAGACGCCGTGCCCGCCGGTGCCGAGGCTCCCGTGGTCCCGGTGGAAACCGTGCCACCCACGGAGGATCCGACCACGACGCCGCAGACGGCACCACCGACCGTTGCGCCGGTGGCGGTGGCCACGGAGGAAGACACCGGTGCCAACGCCAACAGCACCGCCGCCAACAGCACCGAGCCACCGGCCAGGTATTACTACGACTTTGAGCCCCCGGAGCTCGTCCCGCGGACCGCGGAGGACACCGGGGAGGACCACTTCTCCGGCTCGTCCGCCGACCTGCGCCGCCTGCCCATTGCGGTCTACTCCGACTTTGCCAACGACCAGGAACGCCTCGTCCCGGTGAACATCCTCAAGCACTACACCTACGGGGACGTCTTTGAAACGCTCACCGGAGACACCCAGGCGCTCCTGACCCTCCGGGGCCAGGCCTGGGTCGCCCCGGTCGGCCCCGACGAGGCCAAGGCCTACAAGGAGGACGGGAAGAACCTCCCGGCCCGCCGGTACCGTCTCGGACCGGGGGCCACCACGGGCGGGTCCACCCGGATCCTCGCCGCCCTCCATGTCCCAAATCCGGTCGAGGACGGGACCTCGGACCGGCGCCTGGCGGTCCTCCTGGCCACGGACCCCCTCACCCCCACGGCCGAGCACGCCTTTTACCTGGTGGAGGCCCAGCCGGGGGCCTCTCCGCTCTTTGCCGATCCAAACAACCTCCCCAGGCCCTTTCTGGGGGGGATGGTCTCGGGGGGGAGCACCATCGACGGGGGCCTGGGGAGCGTCAAGACCGACACACTGGCCATGAGCCCCTGCGGGAACCGCATGGCCTGGTCGGACACGGACGGGAGGATCGTCGCCATGAACCTCCCCCACTACCAGGAGCCGGGGGACGGACCGCCCGAGCACGTCGTCCTCCCCAAGAGGAACGACCTCGGCGAGCCCATGGTCGGGGACAGCGTCGACCTCCGCTTCAGCCCCGGCGGCCGGTATCTGGCCATCACCCACCACGCAAAGAACCGCTTCCAAACCATCAGCGTCGCCGACCTCGGGGATCCCCTGGCCGGGGAGGACAGGATCGCCCCGATCCGCCTCGGCCGCATCGCCCAGGTGACGCCGGCGAGGTTCAACTCGTGGGCCCCCGTCTGGGGAACGACCCCCGCGGACGCCCACGACCACGCCCAGAACAAGACCATGGCCAAGCTCCTGGAGGTCGACCCCCCGGACGACGTGGCGGCCACGACGCTCTACTTTTTGTCCGACCGGGACATCAAGACCGACGTGACGAGCCCGTGGGGCTACCGGCAGCGGATGCCCCACTTTGTCCAAAGCGCGGCGGTCTACGCCCTGCCCCTGGTTCCCGAGAACGGTGGCGAAAGCGAACCCGACCGGTCCCGGGCGGGCGGGCCCTTCCGCGGCGGAGGGGCGGCCGAGCTGGGCGTCGGCGCCCTCCTCGAGCGGATGGACCTCCTGGAGGCCGTCCTCGACGACAAGGCGGCGACCAAGGCCCGTAGGCGGGAACGGCGCAGGCTCGCCGAGTCCCTCCATCCCCTGGCCGGGGCCTTTGGCCACGCCAAGAAAGCCTTTGCCGACAAGAGGCGGCGGGTCCAGAAGGAGGAGGAAGCCGGCGCCGGTGAGGAAGCCGAAGCCGAGGACGACCATTTGAGGGAGGCCGTCTTTGAGCAAGACATGAACGTGGACTTTGGCCCGAGGGACCTGACCCTGGCCCGGACCGCCTACCGGATCGCTTCCATCCCGGAGGGCGACTACGACGACCTCCTGTGCCAGACCCCCACTGGTGACCTCGTGGCTTTTGGTGACTCGAAGCTCGTGGTCTTCCAGGCCGGCGCCTTTCCGTCCGACACGTACGAGGCCAAGCCCTTTGCGGCGACCTCGCGAAAGCTGGAGCTCGCCCGCGTGAGCTCCGACCGTAGGTCCATCGTCCTATTGTACTCTCCGGACGGCGCCATCCGCGTGGTTCCCAACTCCGCCTCCGGCCTCGCGGCCCTGCAGGCCGATGCGGTGCTCGACGACGGCGTCGTCGACTGGGACGGCCTGCACCTTAGCATCTGGCCGACGCTGGAATACCGGCAGCTCTACGACGACGCCTGGAGAATGCTGAGGGACTACTTCTACGACCCGGGCATGGCCGGCATCGATTGGCCGGCGATCCACGGGCGCTACCTTCCGCTTGTCGAGCGGTGCTCCAAGCGGGAGGAATTGGACGACGTCCTGATCCAGATGTCCTCGGAGCTGAGTGCCCTGCACGTCTTTGTCTACGGAGGGGAGTACAACTCCCCGATCCACGGAGACAAGGCCCTGCGCTACGTGAACGAGGTGGGGAGCCTGGGAGCCGTGCTGAAGCGGAACCCCGCCTGGAAGGGCTACACGGTGGAGAGCATCGCCGAGGCGGACCCGGACTTTGGCAAGATCGACCAGTCCTCCACGATCTACAGCCCCCTGAGCGACCGGTCCCTGCGACTGAGCGGCCAGAGGGGCCTGGAGGCGGGGGACGTCATCGTCGGGATCAACGGCGAGTCGATCCTCTCCGTCCCCGACCCCCACATGCTGCTGCGGGGCACCGCTGGCAGGAGCGTCAGGCTGGACGTCCTGCGGCTGGCCTCGGGGCCGTCGGAGCAGGACGGAAGCAGCGACGCAGCAGATGCGGCGGCCGGCGAGAACGCCGGCGACGCCCCCGTGGAGTCTCTGATCGTGGCGCCGCTGTCCCCGGACGACCACTCGAACCTTCTCTATCGCGCATGGGAGTGGAAGACGGAGCGGCTGGCGAAACAACTGGCGGAAGAGGCCGGGATTTCCGTCGGGTATGTCCACCTCAAGGACATGTCGGGGGCCAGCGCCGAGGACGCCTTTGCCCGGGGCTTCTTCCCGAACTACCACAAGCAGGGATTCATCCTGGACGTGAGGCACAACCGGGGGGGCAACATMGACTCATGGGTGCTGGACGTCCTCCAGCGCAAGGCCTGGATGTACTGGCAGTCCCGGGACTTTGACCCGGAAACCGGCGGCCTCGGGTGGGACGAACACTACGCCTTCCGGGGCCACCTGGTGGTCCTGGTGGACGAGAAGACCTCGAGCGACGGCGAGGGGGTTTCCCGGGGCATCTCGGAGCTCGGTCTCGGCAAGCTGATCGGGACCCGTACCTGGGGAGGGGGCATCTGGCTCGCCAGCGACAACCGCCTGGTCGACGGGGGAATCGCCAGCGCACCCGAGATTGGCGTCTACAACGAGAACTGGAGCTGGGGGATGGGCATCGAGAACCTGGGGCTGGAACCCGACATTGTGGTAGACAACGATCCCCACGAAACCTACACCGGGAGGGACCGGCAGCTAGAAACGGCCATCGAAGTCCTGAAGAATTGGATCGAGGACGAACCGATTCCGATCCCCAAGCCCAAGACCAAGCGCAAGGACGTGACCATGGGTGACCGCGAGTGCGGGGCGAGGTGAAACAAACGACAAACAGGAAGCCCCGCGCTTTTGTATGCTAAAAGCCGCTAACGTTGCGTGACCTATCGTGTGTCGCACGAAATCGAATCCAATCGAGTCGAATCCGCGGGACGAGCAATGCCAATCCGTTTGTTCTTTCCCGCACGAAGGATTCTACCGCATGCCGCCTCAATTAAGTAGGAATAAAACCTAAGCATAACACATAGTTTCAAAACAGGACGAAAAACGGCACTTCGCGGTTTGGTGCCGCCAGAGCCGAGAACATTGACATGCACACGTTTTAATGAGTTTTTTGGAAAATTCCGTGCGCTCAGAAATCAACAAGCCCGAAAAGGTTCTCTGACAGGAAACATATAATATGGACATGTCATACTTTAGTTGCCGGGAATGATAGCGTGATGTGGGCAAGTCAGGGACCATGTTGATGTGGGAGTTGCAAAAATGGTTGCACTCAACGCATATTTTTACTATTTTGGCAACTATATTTGGCACGCAAGCCGTCCCTGGAGAGGTGCCAATACGGCTGCATAGTAGAAATCACTACTACAACCCCAACCCCAACCCCACTTAAGAACCAACAATCAATCCGATCATTCTGGGATAGCTTTTTGGGATAGCTTTTTGGGATAGCTTTTTGCTGTTGTTCCTGACAGTGTTGATTTTGATGTGTTTGCCGCCCCCGGTGTTGCGGCTGCTACCAGCACCATCGCAAATGTTGCCGGAATCTTGTTCCTTGCTGCGGCATTGCTTTAAGGACAGGAAGAGAAAGGAACAAGAAGAATAAAAAATTGAATACATGTGGAGCAAAAAGATACATTGGTCGCGCTGCCCGGCCCGCGTAAAACAAACCAAAAGAAAAAAAAAATGCTGTTTGGCCGCCCCGTAAAACAAAACAAAAAAAAACCTGTGTACATGCCAATAAACATAAAAGATAATAGTATTGAGTTATATGTGAAAATTTTGCTGACGTGTAGCTTGAGAACCCACAGTACCGGTACGACAATTCCTCCCGTGATAATATAACACAACACGGAACTCACCTCAATTTGGGTACACGCGCTGCGCGAGCTCCTCCACAGTTACTCTACATACTCGTACCGTACTCGTACCAGTACGAACCAGCAAAAAACTATGTTTTCCTGCTCACAGAATCGCAGCAAGGGCAGCAGAATCTGCAGAATCGACCGGTGCCCGCCCCCCAGCAAAGAGGGATCGAAAAAACGACAAAACAGCAAAATGAGAACAGCTCGCAACGGACCCGAGCAAAGGACCAGCGGCAGCTGCTGCCTTGCGGTGGTGCCAAGACTCGTCCTGGTCGCCGTGTGCCTCCCCCTCTCGAACGGATTGGTTCCTAGCACTTCCCCCGCCACGGGTCGTCCTCCACAACGGTCTTCCGCCGCGGCGCTGCGGGAGAAGAGCGGAAGCGGCGGTTTCCTGGAGGGTCTCTTCGGAAGCACCGCCCCCGCTAAGAGCCCGCCGAGGGTCCGAACACCGGAGGGCTTTGTCACGCCCGAGCCGAAACCCCTGCAGATCTCCGAGTCCGCCGATCCGGCCAGGTTTGCGAGGAACACCCTGGCCTTTGTGATCCGGTTGGGGGTGGGCGCCTTCGTCCTCGGGTGGAAGATCGACACGGTCTTTTACAAGCAGCCGGAGGACGACGGCAATGACAATGACAAAGACAACGGCGAACCTAGCGGCGACGGCCGCAAAACAAGGTACAGCCTGGACCTCGGGCCCTTTTCGATCCGGGATTCCAGCTCGGTCGTCCTCCCAAAGCCCGAGCAACCGCTGGTCCTCTACGAGTACGAGGCCAGCCCGTTCTGCAAGCGGGTCCGGGAAACCATCAACCTGCTGGACCTCACGGTAGAATACAGGCCGTGCCCGGGCGCCCGGCAGGGAAAATTTTCCGACGAGCTCTTCGAAATGACCGGGAGGCGGACGGTAGGTGGTTTGCGCGTGCCCAGTTTCGTGCCGCGATGGTTTGCCCGTGTTCATCGTGCTCCCTCTCGCTGTGAGTGTCTTTGTGGGTTTCCAGTGCAGAGAGGGAGAGAGGTTGATCCTTGATCCTTGATCGTTGATCGTTTGTGGATCAACTGTTCGAATTCTTTCGGCGACTTGACTCATTCTGTTTGTTTTCTACCCAAATGCACCCAGGTGCCCTACCTCTACGATCCCAACACGGGCGAGGGGCTCTTCGAATCGAGCGACCAGATCGAGTACCTTTTGGCCAACTACGGGCCCGCCGACGCCTCGACCTACGACCGAAAGGCCCTGTGGCCCGTCACCCTCGAGCCCTTTTCGGTGGCCACGTCGACCCTCTGCGCGATATTGCTGGGCATGCCCGGAAAGGCCCGCCGGCCCGACGCCCGCCCCGACAACGAGGAAATGCTTCCGCTGGAGCTCTGGGGGAACGAGGCCTCCCCCTTTGTCCGCAACGTGCGGGAAACCCTCGGAGGCCTGTGCCTCCCGCACGCGATGGTCAGCTGCCCGAGGGGATCCTCCAACCGCGACCGGATGGTGGAACGGACCGGGCGCTTTCAGGTACCCTACCTCGTGGATCCCAACACCGGGATCGAGATGTTCGAGTCCGAGGAAATCGTCAAGTACCTCGAAGAGGTCTACACGGTGTCGTGAAACCAAAGAAAACTAAAGCAGGAGTATGTTCTATTGGAATGTTTAGAAGTTTTTCCTGGCCCCGGGTGGATGGGAGCTGTCGTAGGCTTCGTTTGTGCGTAGTCCCGGAGAAACAGATGCATGCCAGTAGCTTTGTTCTAGATTCCATTCGTGGAAAATATAGAATACGCAGTACAGTAGTACGCAATGCGTGTTTTCACGGTTGTCTATTCTTTGGAGCTAGAGGTTATCCTCCTCCTGCAGACGGCGGATGCCGCCTTTGCGAGCTTGGCAATGCCGCTCCGCAACCGAGCCCGTTTCCCCGGCTTGTTCGCACCGACTGCCACCGCCGACGCCGTGGTGTGGTTCGACTTCGACTTCGACTTCGAGACCTCCGCCCGGAGGGCCTCGAAGGTGTCCGACAGGAGCCTGGTCTGTCGTTCGCAGCGGGCCGCGATGGCCAGGTCCCCGGCCTCCAGGCCGTCCTGCACCATTCCGTCCCACCGGCGGAACGCCCGGACCACGGAGGGGTGGCCCTCGAGGGCCCCGAGCGCCGCCTCGAACTCCTCGTGCTCGCGGACGCTTTCGTGCTCGTCGTCGTGCTCGTTGGAAAAGGCCTTTCCTAGCCAGTAGCCGAGGCCGTAGGTCGCCAGGAACTCGTGGCCCCTCGGCACGGCCTTTGTGGTCACGTAGGCCATGAGGGGAGGCGGGCCGAACCCGCACATGACCACGTTGAAACCGTCCCCCGCGGCAGGGTCCCCGGCGCCGGTGACGCCGGCCGCCCCCAGGTAGTAGTCCACGGCCAATCGCACCGCGGCGGCGTCGAGTGCYTCGGCTTCCTTCCCGGCCGCGGTGGCACGGTTCGCGGGGTTGCCGCTCCCGGCTCCCGCGGCCTTCCTGCGGACCTCCCTGGCGGCGTCCACGATCGGAGAGAAATCGGCATAGCACGCATCGTTSACGTAGTGGGCTCCGAAGAGCCTGTCGCTTTCGCCGTGCTCGTCGATCGGCCGCCCCGGGTTCACGTCGAAGGCGTACCTTCCGGAGGGATCGGTCATGGCGTACGAAAAGTCGTTCCAAGAATCCCCGCCAAAGACGTCCGATTCGTCCTCAAAGTACACCAGGTCGCTGGTTCCGGTGATCCCGCCCGTCCTGCCGGTGGGGCCGGTGGTGCTGGTGCTGCCGTAGACCCGCTCGGATCGCTCGTGAACCCGCGGGGGCGATCGGCCGTCGGAATAGCCAATGGCATGGATGCTGTTGTTGTAGGTTTCACAATGTGCGCGGAGAGGGAGCGATGCAAAACAACAAGAGTTGGCAAACAGGACGACAACCACTCGGGGTGCAATTGTAATTTCCCGCAGCCTATTGGAGGAATACCGTGCAATACTGTACGTACGGATAGAACGCAACCACCTCGCCCGCGGAAAAGTCCCGGTTGGCGATCAGTCCCCGGCCCTCTACCACCCCCTCGGAGGTGACGTTGACCCCCTCGACCAGATCCCGGAAGGCCGACCTCCAGTCGCGCGACAACAACGACGAAAGTGACGCCGGTGCCGATGGCGACATCGGTGCCGGTTGCGCTAGGAACCCCGGATCCTGGACMACGTCGTAGAGCTCKAGGAGATCCGCGAGGTGCTCCGTGGAGGAGGGCCGAAACCGGTTCCTCAGCCCGCGAAGGCAGCTCCGGCCCACGRCCGACAGCGAGAAGGCTTCCGCGCCGTACCGGAAAGAACCGCAGCTGTGGTGACGGCAGGAAGGAMTGCGACAAAGAATGGCAATGGCGGTCCACACCGCCAGGGTCGGAACGAGAATGGCAGCGGAAATCGCGGCCGGTTTTCGAATCAAGAGAACCATKGCGACAGAGCTCCCACCGGATGCGAGAAAGGATTCGAAGCAGAAGGCAGCAACAGCAATTCCTTGCGTTCGATGTACGGAACGAAGCCRATGTGTTTTCAATGCAACTGCGACAACAGGATCAAAATCGTGGACTCGGGTCTTCACACTCGCAGATGAACTAGTGAAACAAACCCATTACTGTTTTTTGTGTTACGCGTCCTCGTTTTTGTGTTCCGTCTTCCCCACCTATCTACAGCAGCCCCGATCGAGAAAAATGAGTCAAAAACAAAAACTCATAAATATTGGCACTACCAGTTTTTCGTTGATCGCCATTGGTTATTGGAGATACGTTTCGTACCTATTAATGTCCCGTACTTACCCTCAGCATCGCCACCCTATGCTACGTACCCGTACCGTACGGTACGGTACGTACTGTTGTTGTTTCGCTGGTTTGTTTCTTGTGTATTCGTACCACAAACTCGTTTTGCGACTTGAAGAATCGAGTTGTTCTGTCGGGTTCTTAAAGTACAAGTAGTACGAGTAGAGGCGCTACGACGCTCCCACCGTACCGTACCAGGTACCGGATCGACGGATGACCAACAACACGATACGAGGTTGTTTCAGTTTCAGTTTCTGTTCTGTAGTTCCTCCGACACCATAAATCCAACGGAATACTGTTGCCCGAAGGACTAGCAACGGGCCACGCTATCAATCGCATCCTTCGCCGTATTCAATTCTTGATACTCTTGCATCCCGATTGATAAGCGTCGAAGAGCGAGAGAGTCCAGCTGGAACAGGTAGACCGGCACTCGAGCCGAGAAACGAAACAAAACCGAGAAACACGAATGGTCGGTTGATTGATTGATTGACTGATTGGTTGGCTGATTGATTGATATTGATCGAAGTGAACCGTTTATACAATACCTGTCACGTTGCGTTCATTGAACGCGCACCGATCGGTCCGGAAGTTTCACTCCGGCCACCGCGATAGCAAGAAACGATTGGATAATGCGAGTCCTGCTGGCGAGACGCTTTCGTGAGAACAGGAACGCCGCCCAACAATCACAAGAAGAAGAAGGAGGAGAAGAAAAAGTCGATGGCTTGCAAGGCTGGGACGAGACAGATCGATCCGAGCGACAAGACAAAGAAGGGGGAGAGGGAGACAATCACCCTACCGCGTTGAAACCAAAACAACCAAACCAGCAGCAAAATTTACCGACGGCGTCCTCGTTGACTCGGAAACGAAAGGCGCAATCGCAGAGCGGMCCGAAAAAGGAGAAGACCAACGGCAGCAGCAGCAGCGAGGACACGGCCGAAATACTCCCCGAGATTCGACCAGTGGTAAGAGAGCCAACGGATTCCGTGAGCGAGAACAAATCCAGAATCAACAACAACGGCAAAAGTAAGAACAGCAGCCAAACCGGCGGAATAGAATTGAAAACATCCCCTATTTCGTCACAGGAAGCACCAGGAGCAGCAGAGCGCTTGGTAGAGAAAGATCTTGCTACATCCAGACCTGACACTTCGCTTGAYTCGAAAACCAGTGCACGCTATTCCACCAAAGACAAGAAAGCCAATTGCACAATGGTGAGTGCAGGAGGGAGACAGAATCACTATCGTGGAAACCGCAACATTCGAGACGCAGAAGAAGAGGACAAATGGCGGTATAGAAACAACAGCGAYATCGACGCAGAGCTGCACCGGGTTGTGCTGCGACGAACGGACAACCCCAGCGAATCCCACGCCTGCGAGGACCAACAATGTTTCGAGAACGATCCCGCATCGGCCCGTGGGGACACTGCCTGCTTTTCTTCCGAGCGCCTGGCAGACCACACCCGCATCCAATCCAACGGCCGTTGCTCGTCGGCCACGAACGGTGCCACCGGGAACTACGCGGTGCCCGAGCGAGAAGGACCCTTCCGGGGCGTCTCCGGATCGGCGTCGGCTCCGTTGTGCAGCGACAATGGCAAGCGGAGAGCTTCCGAACACGGCGACGGGGCCGCCGAGGGCAGCGGTCCCAACCACCTCACCAAGGAGGAGATTCGGTTCCGGAACGTCCTGAAGAGAGAGCGCGGGCTGGAGATTCGGGAGCAAGCCGGAGACGGAAACTGTCTCTTTCGTGCCATCAGCCTCCAGGTATACGGCGACCCTTCGATGCACACGGAAGTTCGAAAGCGGTGCATGGATCACATGGTACGTACACAACTCGACACGGCGCGGYGCGGCGTGACCGACAGGAAGAGCCGGGCACACCGTATCGGTTGCATCTCAATCTTGCTGTTGCTCGTTTCTAATTTGTATTGATATCGTGGTTCCTATCCTGGATCTGTTCTCTGGTGTCTTTGGTTCGGCATCGTTTGCTCGCGACGAATCAAATACAAACATGCAGGAGCGCGACCAGGAGCACTTTTCGCAGTTTGTGACGGGGGAGCCCTTTCTTCGTTATATTGCCCGGACCCGCCGGGACGGGGTTCACGGGAACAATTCGGAAATACAGGCCAGCAGCGAACTCTTCAACCGACCCATCGAGGTCTTTACGCCACAGAACGGGGCCGTGCCCCTCAACATTTTCCATGCCGAATACAAAACCGGAGACGTCCCCATACGACTCTCCTACCACGACGGGAACCACTACAACGCGGTCATCGATCCGCTGGCACCGACCGCCGGATTGGGACTGGGCCTTCCGGGCCTGCAGCCACCGGGCTATGCCGACAAGATGCAGAYGACCAGGGCGGTGGCAGARTCCATTGCCACCCAGGAAGAGCTGGCGCTYCGGAGAGTGATGGACGAGTCTCGGAGCGAATACCTGCGCAAAACCGRCCGGGGCACAAGCGAAAACGRCAGCGACGACGACCTGCAGCGTGCCATCAAGGAAAGCCGCCTTTCGGCGGAGCAGGTGAGTTTTTCGAAGAACGGCAAACTAGCTGCAACGAGTCCGAAAGCAGGTGTCTGTCTGTCTRCCTGCCTGCCTCTATGTCTGCCTATCTGCCAACCTACCCGTCTAATTATTTGCCCCTTTCTTTGTGCTCTGAACGATTGCCTTGTTTTTATTTAGATGAACAGGAACAATGCACTTTCCTTATCCGACATGGACGCAACGTATTTTGACCTGGAGCAAGCTGCACTGGAAAATTCGTTGCAGTCCTTGGGCCAGAAAGAGGAAGGGAAAAAGCAGAGGGCGTCTACAGGCAAAGCAGCCTCACAAAATATAAATAGCAGAAAGAGCAGCAGCAACGGGAACACCTTGGATCCCAAGCCAGCCACGAGGGGAGATCGAAAAGTTGCGGCCTCGCTGCCCAAATCCACGTCGGTCGATTCGCTCCCCTGCCCGTCGAGGGAAAACATTCCGAAGGCGGCGACCGCGAGTGCCGCTGCTTCCACCGCTGCCAGAATGCCAGCGAACGTCGGTGCCTCGTCGCAGCAGCCGCTCTTGCCCCTGGAACAATACCCCTCGGTCGTGCGAGAGATGGTGAGCAATGGATTTCACCCGAGGTGCGCGGCAAACGCCTACGAGCTGGTCGGGGACAACTTTGACGACATGCTTTCGCTGTGTCTATCGACCAACGACCTCTACAAATGATTTGTTTGGCACGGCATGGTGCTTCTGTGACAGCGATGCATGTGTCCAACGACGACGCGCGCGTGCGGTGAACGGCAGAACGAACGAACGAACGAACGAACGAATGGTACCGTGTGAAACAAACTCGTTTCGCTTTCTTTTGTTCCGGTGGGTTTCCAAAGAACCACAAAAGCGAATCTAGATCCACGCCGATTCCGAAGGATTTCTAATCGCTTCTTTCGACCAATGACGCATGGCTACTAAGGYAATCGAATGGAACTATTGAATARTAGAATTCCCGAAAGCTATAATTCCATAAATTCATGCATTCACGACGAAACTTCTAAGCCCTTTCTTTAAGATTTTTCACCGCAAAATCCACTAATCCACTAAAAACTAGTGGCAACGTTCAGCACAGACAAGGATAGCCTGAGATCCGTGCGAATTTGTTTGCAAGTGATTCCTTTCAACTGCAGACCACAGGCCACTCGGTTTTCGATATGATCGATGCGTGGTCCCATGTAGCTCGACAGAAGTGACTGCCTCGCTTGGGTCAATTACCAGCTTGGAGACGGATTGATGCGAACGTATGGCAATCGAGTTCCATTAGTACGGCTTCCTGATTAGTTTGTCTTCGCCATCTTCGACTGGCTTGTATAGCTGCCAGTTCAGACGACAGAATAGAAAGAACTACAGAGAACTATTCCAGTACAGCCATAACACCGCGAAGCATCGTTCCTTGCGATTCCGATCAGAATTGCAGCTGTTCCATATTTCTGACAGCCTGGTCCAAGGTCGATTTTAGAATGGGGAAGAAGTTTTGAATGCCATAAACCTCATCCTTAGTTGGATCGTCAAAATCATTAGAATTTCTTTTCCTAGAAGAACCATGCACGCCTCCTGTGCCTTTCTGTGAACTCGGGGCGAGCCGATTGGCTCACTTAAATATTTTTACTAGGCMTTTACCATTAAAAAACAACCGAAGAATAATTACGAACGTCGGATTGAGCATATGATATTAAGGCGAAGAGCATTAGTGARAAATGAGGTTGGAGTTATCAAGAATTAATCCTCTCATCCTTCCTTAATAGTATGTTTGTTCTTCCAATCAAAATGCTCTGTCTTTTATTGCGGAATTTGGAAATTACATTAGTCTTCTTCCGGATCTTCAAACCTCTTCATTTTTCTTAGAAGATTCCCTCACTCTCTTAGGCCCTATCATCAAGTGCTTAGGGAAAACTTCCAATGCTTCGAGGGAAAATTTCATCACCATAAAATGAAATGCCGGCAACACCTCCAAACTGCCACGTATTTTTCTCCTCCTTTGAAGAATCGTGACAGACGGAACAGAAGGAGTTACTGCATTAACAAAATTATAACGATTGCCATACCTTGCTTACGGAAAAGCGAAACAACCCGAGCTGTTTCTTCGGTTCTTTTTATCAGCATGGCGGATTAATAATCGTACCGTAGTGTCATGCGTGATCCAGATAAGCGTCTTGGTACGATCGAAATCATCCATCGGCTGAGAAAAGCTCGAAGCTCACAACGAATAAATTTCCATAAAGAATAATTTGCCATAAAGAACACCACAAAATATTGATTGCAACAAGACGAACGAAACCAACCAAGAGATGACACTGGCGATTCAAGTGAGTACGAAAACCGAAACCCCGGGAGATAGCTATGACGAAAGCAAACTCTTTAATAGCTCGTGTCCTTCGAAGAGTGGTCAAGAAGAGAACAACAACGAAGTCTGCAAGTATACGAAAGCAGAATCATCCATTTCGCGTCTTCGCAATACCACAGCTTCTGTCGCCGACGCCCTGCTAAAGCTCGGGGGCTCCCAAGAYGATGTCGAACCGACTCTTTCTAATCCTCTCAAGAGAAAGCGCTCTTTATTTGTCCTCGGGGAGAGGAAGTTTACTACCTACGTCAAAGATGCTGCCAGCACCGTGTCCGAAACGGATACCGAATCCACTGATCACTTCTCGAAACGCTTCAGGAACGACGGGTGCGAACAGCGGCGTGCCCCATCCGATTTCAAGCTGAATCTTCCTCTTTCACTATCGATTCCAAGAACAAATGGAACCGGCAACGAAGTAGACGATGCGCTTACTTTTTCAACATCAGAATTCCAGCTTCCGCTCCAAGATTTCAATGAACGAAAATGTCCGGGAGAACTCGGGCCAATCTCGTCTACCCTTCAGGATTTTCGGCCCCTACGAGCCCGCCCACACATGCCAACTTTTATTGTCCCCGAACATCCTCCTCCGCCACAGCAAAACTACTACTCGCCGCAACTATTACCAAGTGATAGTCCTATGATGACTTCCGTTGTTGCGGCAGACGAGGGATGTTTCGTCTTGCATTCCTACACCATAGTTCCAAGGCAAAACCTACATCCGACCCCACTTCCACTAATGACGAATGCTCCTTATCCTTGTTATAGGTAGCGATAGAAAGTCGTTGTACATAAGCAGCAGGACGAATCATCGAGGAAAGAAGAATTTCCCCTTATTCTTTGCGCTTTCTTCTAAGCAGACATCGAACAAACAAGCTATAACAAGCGAAGCTAAAAGCGCGAACGCATCGTCCGAGAAGCAACTATTCAAGTATCCAAAAGAAGTTTTTTTTGCATAGCAGATTTTGAAAACATTTTCACACAATCTTTTTGATGAACAAGAAACAATAGTTTTTCACGAACTCCATTTTCACAATAATATATAATTTATTAACGATTTTCACTATCTTCTCCATGTGATAGAGAAGAGCGCTTTGTTGTACGCATCGACTATTGCCATCGTCTATTGCCATTGAAGTAGCGATATGCATAGGAATGATTGAATCGAAGGTATCTGTAATGCAATCGTTGTACAGATGAACAGTCTGCTCATATCCTACTCTAGGTACCGTACTCGCACTATTATACGGCACCCTTTTGAATCCTGCGCGAGAATTTTAGTACTTAAGCCTACATCTCTTACTGCCGTTCAAATGAATCTGTTGCGTTCGGTAAGTGAAAAGAATCTACCGTACGAAGTACGTGCGGTACGAGCACCACTTGATTTTTGTCAGGGAGCGACGAAAACAATCAATCGACTTCCGGAAACATTTTGGCTCTTGCCACTGTCCCAAGTCGAGTAGGAAATGACTGCTGAATAGGAAATGACTGCTGAATACGTTAATTCAACGATTATCACTACTGAAAGTACATTTTTATCCATTAGATCAGAGTAAGACTTATTACGTACTTTACGCAGTACTAGTACCCCGTAACCTTTTTTGGCAAAGAATGTCCCATACGAGTACGAGTACGTACCCAAGTACCTGTACTTACTTCATAGTTTCAACAGTTCAATCCCAAGAATGACTGCAAAGAATGGGGTTTTGTAGAATCAGTAAATAGAAATGAGCATGCGCGACTAAATATTATGTTTTGATTTCGAACTACTACGTAGAAATACATACTATTTTTACTGTAGTGCCCTGCTGTATTGTTCAGAACGAGAAAAATTGGTACAAAGAATATTCCACGATGGTTCTCTACGACCTAACAAGACGAAGAAATACTCGCAGGGTTGGATGCAAGCCAACGGTAAAGAAATCTCGATATATTCAACATCCTTCTTTGCGTTCTCGAATACTACTTTTTCATACGTGTCTCGTTAGACCCGAGAAAGGGAAACTCCGGGATGAAACACAGTACTCGGACTTGGATTGAGCTATCCAAAATTACGAAATAACGAAGAAGTGAGGAAATCTTTGTTTTTAGTTCCTTTCCCGTACTTTAAAACGTCACATTTCATTCGTGTCCGTCTGCTTACAGCACCTGATACAGCGTGATGGAGCTTCTTCGCTACACAACGTGGTGCATCGAGGTTTTCTTTTCGCTCCCGTTCGAGACAAGAATCGACCACGTCACAACTGAACTACCGGTGCCATCCGAGGTACTTTACCAGATGCTTCCGAGAATCAATGTGGTATTCGGAAGTTCCAGAAGAAGAATGCTCCACACATGGCGTCGAGAGAAGTTCTAGATGCTTTCCATGTATCCGCTCACAATTTCCCTCCCCTTCCGCGCCCATTCGGATTGGTTGCTCAAAGCGTGCATGTAGTACTCGTCGCTCGACACGCCAAAGACACCGCATTCTTTCAGCTTCATTGCCAGCGGAATGATATAGAACCGAAAGAATCGAAGCTCTCCCTCGTACCAGTACGTCGATGGATCCGTTTCGCCCCTGCCTTCCTTGTAGCTCCGATGTGTTTCTCGAAACAAGCGTTCGTTGAACTTCAGGTAAACATGCCAGTGYTGCATCGTATGGGAGACATCTGATGCCTGGATGATTTGCTCGATGACGACCGTGGCAATGCGGTTCGACCGTTCCGTTGATCCCGGCTCCGCGGAGTCTTTCTCCGTAGCGAATGCCTTTTCCCAGCGATCTTCTCTGAGTTTTTTCAGGTCCTTGTCCAGGATGTCGGTGGCCATCACCGAGTTCACAACGAGCTGCCGGAATCGTTTCAGYTCCGCCGTCGTCTGGAAAATACTGTGGCGCAGGTCTTTGTAAAGAGGTTCCGTGAGGACGGACCACGCAACCGCGATGCTGTGCTGCTCCGCCACGCTGCGGTTCTTGTAGTAGTCGGCCGTTGCGGTGTTTTCCTTGACGAGCTGGGCATTCGGGACACCGGTGTGGTCCACGTCGTGGACGAGAGCCGAAAAGAGGCAGGAGAACTCGACCAGCGGGTCCGAAGCGACGCCGTATGCATAGTTGTCACTGTTGYCGTGGCCTGTTTCGTTTGTTTTGCTCTCGGTGATGCGGGAGAAGAGCTTCGACACGCTCATTAGGACGTGCGCACAGTGTTCAAAGTTGTGAAACGTGTGGTCGTGGTATAGCAGGCTGACCGCCGTGACATACCGGCGGAGTTGGTCTTCGACGATGCAAGAAATCTCGACCGCTTCCATTTCATCGGAGGACAAATCGGTTTCCCCCTCGGGAACCTTCGACATTTTGATCGGCGGGTTTGTTTCTTGCCGGATGGAAATTGCTTCCTGGATCTCTTCGAGAAAAGGACCGTCGGGGTCGAACGAGCCAAGAGAGGGTCCTCCGTCGTCTGGCAAGCCCGTGTCGCCTTTGCCAAAGCTCCAACGATCCGTTCGGCGGCCCCTGCGGTCTGCCTCGATCTTTTTTAGGGATTGCATCAAGGTCTCGACAATCCATTCGATGAGGCGCTGCTCCTTTGGATTCCTGGCCCTTTCGTTGCGGGCCCACGACTTCATGCGAATGGGTGGGGACAGCGTGGAATCACCGGAAAACGTATCGATGCTGAGGCTATCGAACGAAGCCAGGGAGGAGCTGGACATGGACTTGGTGCGGAGGTTGTTCAGAGCGGAGGATCCCCCCGAGCACCACTGGCTGCTGCCGCTGGACAAAGCCGGCTTCCCGGCGGACCGCGACGACGGAATGGATCGGTGGAGCCAGTACGTCTGCATCTCCYCCTTGCCCTTGACGGCCACCAGATTTTCTCTGCGGGCGACCCAGTTGGCGTGGCCTTCGCCGGCGAGGAGGTCGGCGGTGGTCTCGCTGACCTGAATCTTGTCCACCGTTCCCGTCGACTCCATCCGGGACGCGGTGTTGACCGTGTCTCCAAAGAGCTGGAAGCGCGTCTTGTCTCCGCGGAGGACCCCCGCGGTGACCGGCCCGGAATGGATTCCCATGCGCAGACCGAGGTCAACCGTATCGGGTCCGAGGTACACCTCGAGTTTCTTGATGAGGGACTTGTACCGCCTCAAGCACCTCCTCGCGAATCTCGCCATGATGCTGGCGTGTTTTGGTTGCTGTCGGATGCGTTGGTGTTGGGAGCAGCAGACACAGCAATCAAAGAGGAATGAGAGACTTGTAAAATTGTCCGCAGCAAACACGAAATTTTCGAAAGCCGAAACGACACAAAACACAACACAACTCGGTCCAGCAAAGGCAAGCGCGACGCCATCATGCACAACAAAACACAACAAAACAAAATGCAACGCAACAAGACGCAACCCACGCACCGCGTTTGGCAGGCCGGCGCAGGCCACGTAGGAATCCCCGACGGTTTCCACCTTGAAGACCTCCGAGGCCAGGGCAATGTCGTCAAAGGCACCAAAGATGGTTTCCAGGAGCCAAAAGACGTCCGAGGGTGCCCGCGCCGAGCTCCAGGCGGTAAAACCGGCAATGTCGCACATCAGGACGGACGTGCTCGGGTAAAAGTCCGCCACCGGCTTTTTCCTGCCGTACCGGGAGAGGAGGTCGTTCCCTTGAGGTGGCGGCGGCGGTGGCGGAAGCGGGAGGACCGAGGGGACGGGCGGTTTGCGAAACCCGGTGCGGCTCCCGGCCCCCCTCGGGATCGACTTGCGGTCTCCCTGTCCAGGCCGCGGGGAGGACGAGGGCGAGTGCCACCGAAAGCTTCCGCTCTTGTTCAGGAAGGAGTCCCTGTGCGAAGGGGCGTGCAGGTGCATGTCCGCGTCCACGTCCAAGTCCGACTCCAACGCGGCATCCGTGTCCGCGCCCCCGGGGTCTGGGGTTTTCGCCGTTCGTTCGACGTTCACCGGAAACGCCGGGGTTTCGGCGGTGCCTCCGCAAGGCGTTCCCGCCCCCGGGCCCTGGACTTGGTCTCTCCCACAGGAGGTGGTGGTGGTGGTGGCCGGGCTCCCTCCGCGGCCGGGCTCGTCGTCGTCGTCGTCGTTGGTGCCGTGGTCCGTGTCCATGGCCAGGAGCTTCTCTTGGATGCCCTCCGGGAACATGGATCCCACGATCGCCCCGGCCCGGTCGGCCAGGCGGAGGAGCTTCCTCTGGCGGTCCTCTACGGCCCRGTGGTAGGCTTCCAGCGCCAGCAGGACGAGGCCGAGGCCCAGGGCCAGGCCCACCGAGGCCACCACCGCGGGCACCACAAGGGAGGAACCGGCGGAATCACCGGCGGCGGCGGAAGACGACGACGACGACGACGAGGGCCCGCTTCCGGGCAGGCAGCCCCCGCAAGCGGAGAGGAAAAAGGAGGTCCCCCCGGACCAGGACTCGGGGAGCTCGATCTCGATCTCGAGCTCGTTGGCCCCTTCCCCGCAACCGGAACCGCGCAGGTCCCCGCGGCCCAGAAAGACGACCCCCGTGTTGCCGGTCCCGCCGGCCGGAAGGATCCCGTAGGTCCGGGGATGGAGGTACTCCTCGGTTTCGGGGGACCCCCGGTCTTCCACCCTCCCCGCGGTGGTTCGGTCCCAGACCACCAGGCAAAAGGGATAGGAGAGAGCTCCGGCTCTAGCTCCAGCGTCTTGCTCCTCGTGTATTCCTTCCTGCCTCCGCCAGTACGGGCCAAAGAGGCCGAGCTCGGATTCGAGCACGGCAAGGACGTAAGCTACGGTGGTAGAGTTCTTGCTTGGGGCATGGTCCACGTCCACGACGGGCACCCCCATATAGAGCGAGGGAGCTTCCTTGTCCTTGTCTTCGCCTTGCTCCGGACGACGACAAGGGGGGCGGAGTGGAGCACCGCTCCAGAAGACGGGACCCCGAGTCTTTTCGCCTTTGATTCGATCCGGGAAAAAAGGAGCTGCGGTCGTGGCGGTGTTTGCAAAGCACGACAAGAGGTCGAGATTGACCGGGGAAGCATCGCAGGCGGGCCCAAAGCGGTCCTCTTTGGCGGTTCGATGCTGCTGCTGCTGCTCTAGCTGCTCCTGTTGGTGTGTTTGGTTGGCCCCGTAGCAACAAAAGTCCGAGTCCACGGCCTGCCAAACCGGGAGAACGCGTTTTCGCTGGGGCCAGGTGTGCCCGTATCCGTATCCGTATCCGTATCCATATTTGTTGGTCTTAGTGTTGTTGTTGGTCTTGGTTTCCTCCACGATCGGGGCCCAGAGGATCCTCTCGAACCAGCGACCCTTGGCGGCCGCGTTTTTGTCCTCTGCCTCTGGCTTTGCCTCTGACTCTGCGTTCCAGACCACCGAAACGGTGTCGCAAAAGCCCGCGAGGTGGACCGGGGGAAGGCCTTCCGGCTCGAAAAGCTCCGCGATCCCCGGTTTAAAGGTGACCGGATCGGTCGGGACAAAGAGCAGGGGCCGTTGGAGTGTTAGGCGGTCTCTCTCGGCGGCCAGAGCGTCCGCCAGATCGGCCAGGACGGTTCGGCGGAGCGAAAGGACCCTTTTGGCGGTTTCCGAAAGTTCCCTCCCGATCGCATATGCATCGGTTGGGATCGCTATCGCTGGAGGAAGGGTGYTGCTGCCTTGGCTGGTTCCGGGTCGTTCGAAACCACTGCTTCTGTTGCTGTTGTAGACCAGCCACCCGGTGGAAAGGCTCCCGCACAGGCCCAGGCCTGCCAGGAGGCCCACCGTCCGCCTCCTCCACAGGCGCACGGCCCTGGATTCGCTGGAAAGGAGGCCCTCCAGGCGGTGGTGCTGGTGCTGGTGGTGCTGGTGCTGCTTGTGGTTTCGTTGCCGCTGCCGCTGCTCCTGTTGGTCTTCCAACGGCTGCCGAGAAGCAGGAAGCAGGCTTCCCGACCACAGCGAGGGGACCGAGGCCCCGCAGGAACCGAGCGAGGCGGCCCCCCCGGAGGCCTTTCGCTCCAGGCGGATCGGGGGAGCGTCGAAAGAGGCCGGAGGAAGGTGGTGGAGGACGCCAACCTCGAATTCCACGACCCGGTGTTGGTGGTGGTGTTCCTGTTGGTGGTGTTCCCGTTGGTGGTGTTCCCGTTGGTGGTGTTCCCGTTGGTGGCAGCCGTTCCAGTGGCTCGGAGCCCCCCGTGTCTCGAGGGGATCGTCTCCGTCGCAAACCTTGTAAGCGTCGCGGTTGTCTTGGGATTGCGGCGGTGGGTCGAGTTGCAAGTCGGCGCCGCGGCTGCCGATTGGAGAATCTTGTGGTTCCTGTGGTGGTTCCTGTGGTGGTTCCTGTGGTAGTGCAAGCTCGGAACGACGGTTTCCGAATTCGACATCGCGGTGGGACCCGGTGGGGCTTCCTTCCTCGCAGGGGTTCCCGGCAGTGGCCACGTCCGGGTGGTAGAGGCCCCCCCCGCTGCTCGTCCAGGTCTTTCTGTTTCGTCTGGGGGCCAACCGCAACCCCGAATCGGAGGCGGTGGGAGGAAGGCCAAGGCCCAGGGCTTCCACAAGAGACCGCTCGGGGAATCCTTCGCGTTCGCGTTCGCGTTCGCTCGCAGCAGCGGACTCTGTTTCGCCAAGGGCCATGCCGCTGCGGGGAAAGAGACGCTTCTGCGAGGACGTCTTGCACCTGGAAATCATGACGTGGTTCATCGTTCGTTTCGTTTTCGTGCTTCTTGGCTTCGTTGCTTGGCTTCGTTGCTTGGCGTCGTTGCTTGGCGTCGTTGCTTGGCTTCGTTGCTTGGCTTCGTTGCTTGGCTTCGTTGCTTGCTTGTAGGAGATTGCACGCCGGCTGCCTGTAGTGCTCGCCTCGTTCCGGCTTGTTGCTTCGCAGCTGGTTGCACTTGGCTTGGCTTGGCTTGGTAACGCAGAACCTATAACGTATTCGTATACCGTATTCGTACAGAATCTATCAACAGTATTGCTTGACAATTTTGACAATGGTGCGATCGAGCATTCTGTTTGCTATTACAATATGTGCGATGCGATGCGATGCGATGCGACAAAGAGATCGGATTTCCTCGCGGGTTACTGTAGTACCGTTCCACAACGTGTTTGCACGTTGCGAAGACTGGGTTTCGTTTTTGTGTGGACTGGATTTGGTTTTGTTTTTTTGGGTTCCTTGCCTCGAGTGCCTTCTAGTGTATCTTTGTATGCCTTTTCTTTCCTTGTCTTGTCTTGCCTTGCCTTTCCCTGCCTGTGAATCTTCTCCGTATCGAGTGTGGAGCAGGGGGTGAGGAACGCTACACGCAGGAAATGCATGGCTCGCTTTGCTTTCGATGAAAAGGGGAGAAAGCCCGGCCGCGTGCGGCCCCTCGCCCATCCGGATGCGATGAAATGCGATGCGATGAAATGCCGCGCGTTTGCCCCCCTTTGGCACCGTTTCGTCCCACTCGAAGCACGGCAAAGCAAAGCAAAGCAAACCATGACAGAGCAGAGCAGACGTTGTGCCCCGCCGCGGTGGCTGCGGTGGCACCGTTTGCCGCAACGGCCGTGGATCGATCGGGGTGGTGCGAACCACAAGACCGGAACCGTCTGTGGTTTGGTTCCCGTTTCTCTGAAAGATTCGTTCGAACGCCGAAACAGAAACCGTTGCGAACCACCACACCATGGGATCCGTGTGTGGTGCATCGCATCGATCCGTARCGATGCGTACGTACGGTACGGTATGTAGAGTAACTGTGGAGGAGCTCGCGCAGSGCGTGTACCCAAATCGAACCAGAAAATGTACTCGGTTGAGGTGAGTTCCGTGTTGTGTTATTATCACGGGAGGAATTGTCGTACGAGTACCGGTACTGTGGGTTCTCAAGCTACACGTCAGCAAAATTTTCACATATAACTCAATACTATTATCTTTTATGTACACAGGTTTTTTTTTGTTTTGTTTTGTTTTACACCACGAGGGGCGGCCAAACAGCATTTTTTTGTTTTTCTTTTGGTTTGTTTTACGCCTCTGTGGGCGCAATGTATCTTTTTGCTCCACATGTATTCATTTTTTTATTCTTCTTGTTCCTTTCTCTTCCTGTCCTTAAAGCAATGCCGCAGCGAGGAGGAACAAGATTCCGGCGACATTTGCGATGGTGCTGGTAGCAGCCGCAACACCGGGGGCGGCAAACACATCAAAATCAACACTGTCAGGAACAACAGCAATCTGGGCAGCAAATACACCCTCTGCATCCTCTTTGGAGGCCTGGAGGCTGCGAACACCAGAAAACAAAAATTTCTGGGTCTTGATGCTACCAGTCAACATGCGATTACCAGAGTATTTCATAACTGCACTGCCACTGCAGGTAAAACTAGTGGGATCTGTAGACTCGGCATCGGAGAAGAATCCTGCGGTAACGACACTGGAAAATCCAATGGCCTTGTCTTTGGTGGCATCGTCTTCCCAATTAACCTCGGTAAGAGCATCAGGTTCGCCTTCACTGTTCACAATTGTTCGGGTTTGTTCTTGGTTCTGGCAAACAACATTCTTGAAACCAGATATGTGGTAATCTGTGACTGAGTCATCGGGTTTCACACACAGCTCAAATCTTTGACCAACCTTGTACGGGCCTTCTTTTCTGACGCCACACAAGGTTGCGGTGAGATCGAAATCCTTCTTTGCCTCGGCACTGGCAGCAGTAGCGGCAGTGCCTTCGATTGTCACCAGGCCATTATCAAAATTACCAAAATCACCGTTGAAGTCAATGGTTACGGTCACCTTGGAATCAACAAATGAAACAGGTTTTAACACTTCGCCGTCATTTTCAAAGAACTCATGGACGGTTCTAATGCCTGCGTTGGGAAAAATAAGATAGAGTTTAGCAACCAAGAGGAACAAATGAAAACAAAACGCATTCGATCTATCCAGCAGTACTCTTACTTACAAAATTCATCCACTCCAGTCTCAGCGCCGGTGCTTCTAAATATGCTATCGTTCCTGTAGTCGTTGATACTGAAATGGGCTTTTCCTGTACCCCGCAGCAAAACAAAAGAGTTCGGTGAGAGTCAAGAGTTGATAATTAAAATAACAATTAACACAGCAGTCATGCTCAGTTTCCGATCCAAGTATGGTATCATTCTGATCAAGCAAACAACTTACCAATTGCACCATTAACCTTGTCGGGAGTCATAGTTTCAGTGACTTGGGTCATGCCTGGCTGTTCCACAGCAGAATAGATGGTTTGACCATCACTGTCGGTCCCTTCCCAAATTGTAATTTTGTCGTCTTGTTCAGCAATGGCTGATCCAATAAGATCGTCGGAGAGTTTTTCGCCCTCGCTACACTCTTTCCCATCTTCAGGCATGGTATAGATCTCTACTTTTGGTAGATCTGTGTTGTCCCTGTTGTACTCATAAAGTACAAAACCCGATAGTGGCTCCAATGAGTTCAAATACACGTGGCTTTCGTATCTTTCAGCGGCAACAAGCTCCCATTTGTCGATGGGGCCTGGGGTTGGGGCTGGGGTTGGTCTTGGGGTTGGGGCTGGGGTTGGGTCTGGGGTGACTTTGCATTCCAGACCCTGACAATACTTAACTTCATTGCATTTGGTTCCGACAAATATTTCCCTAGTTTGACCTGGCCAAGAAGAAAGGCATTGGTTGAAGTTTGAAGCGTGCTCGAACGCAAAATTCATCCTAACGTAATTAATTCGTTGATCTAACTTCAAACCCCATTTATACAGAGGTTGGTTGAACTTTTTGGCCCATCTAAACATTGATATCATCTGCGTTACTTTGGATACATCCCAGTCATCAATAGGCTGATTAAATTCGATAGCGTCATAAAACATATTTTCCATATCAGTGACTTTGGATGTATCCCAATTTCCGATTGCACCATTAAACGTGAGTTTATAGGGCTGATTCGCAAAAAACATGTTTTTCATTGCTGTCACCCTTGATGTATCCCAGCAGTTCAACGGCTCGTTAAAGTTTGGAAGATCGCGAAAGACATCAGACATATCTGTGAGTTCGGACGTGTCCCAGCAGCCAATGTCTTTATCGTCTTCGGATAGGGCTTGGTTGTTGACATTCTTCCCATAGGTGAGTGCTAAAAAAACATTACTGGAGAATTTAGCGCGGCTATGAATTATTGGTTTAAATCTTGGTTGAGGACACTGTCCACAGTCTTTCTCTCCATCCACATGGACAACAACGGAAATGGCGACAACGCAAAGGGCCAGGAATTTCATGGTTGTGGAGACTGTTCAATGACCACAATCCAAACAAAAATAAAAGACCAGTCGATGTGGGTGTGAGACTTTACGACAAGCCTGTATCAAAAACACCAAAACGACGGTCACGCGGACGCCAATGGCACCGGGACCTTGGAAGAGATCCATGGTGATGCGCTTCCGAGTACCAACAATGACAGGGGGACCACGGTGGGTTGCTAGGGGCAGACGAAGGCTCTTACCTTGATTAATAGCAATCGCTGCAAAGGTAATTTTCGTTTGGTGTTGTTCTCTTTCAAATTGAAGACAAATGAAAATTATGAGAAGAGAGGAAAGCTCTGAATTCCAGATATTCAAAGCACCGTTTTTGAATCGTGGGATTCTTCACCTTAGCATCCGTCGTTTCCTTAAATACTGGAATTCCTATTTTGTCTTCGGTTAAGCTATCTATCTTTATTTAATGAGGTACGTAAGTAATGAATATTTCAATGTCGAGGATCCGCTTATAGAATCACAAAGATTCCTTGTTGTTCCGAGAGGAATTATTTCGGGCATTCAGAAATACTACTAACTCCGTAGAACCTCGTACTTTTTTACCTTTAAATATCAAAAATGAATATGCCTATGTCAAAAAGAGACTAGTACTTTGGCCTATTGGGCCTGTTGTTGAGACCTCCGGCAGGTTCCGAACCTGGGCACGTTGAGTGATCCACCAGCGAGTAATAAATCCAAGTTGAGAGTGTTAAATGAAGCTACTGTCCCCGCTACGTGGACGGGAGGAAGTACTACACAAAAACCGTCCCGGAATGCATTCGACATTATGCTGAAAAGAAGTACTTATACCACACGGATACTCAAAAGCCGTCCCGGAAACATTGAGGACCGGAGGAAGTAATCAAAAACCGTCCCGGAATCC